CCATCCTCTCACCATCTTTAATCTCTGAATCGCTAATTTCTGTGTAATCTGATGTCACCATTACGACGTTTCCTCGTTAACGCACAAACGACAAATGGTGACGTTACGATATTGCAAAATCGTTAAATCCTCGTCGATATCGTCCATTGGTCATAGAACTGTCCTTGTCTATCACTACGAAGCCATATTTTTGCTGCCAACATTCGCGACACAGCGCACAAAAATCTTCGTATGTCATATCAGTGTTCACGTGATCTTTGTACACGTGTTTCAGATTGGTACCATCCTGCTTGAAGAGAATCAGCAGATTCGCATTATCCCGTATAAGATGCTTAGGTATCTTTGCATACGTCTGACAGAGGTAGAAACAGTCGACGTTCGAGTGACGACCCATAGCAAAGTATTCTCTTATTGTATCTTGTTTGTCACACGCCACGTCATCGAAAACAAAAATGGAATTTGGCAGCGCTTCGTTTGGCGGAAGGACATCGATGTTATTGGAAAATGTAAAAAAGCCAATTTCGTCTATCGACGCAAACAAATTCTCCAAGAAGCGATATTTCGGCTGTTGCAGTGATTTCGAGTACACGTACAGATTCTCGAAACGCAGACCGTGTGGGCTCTCCAGCAGGCTCATCAACACATTCGTCTTACCACAATTCGAGTCACCACATACGATACCGCGTATGGTAAACGGTAGCAAGTGGCCGTGCTTATGTATGATATTTTCGGACGCTACTCGCATTCTTTCATCGAAATTTTTCACGTGTATCGGTGTCCGTTATCGTATGAACCGCATGTCGCTTCAAAAATGCTTTTCATTGGCACGCGGCAACTATTTATAGGGAGGCGCCGAATCGAATCCGTTCAGTCTCCAAAATGTTTCTCCTACTGTTGGATACTCATGATATTCGAGACCTAACCTCCGAACAGTTGAAATATATACCGAAGATTGTTCTATTGCGCGAGTTTTCGAAGCACATTGACGTTTTGTGGGACAGAATCCCGGAACATATAAGGGCCGACCCGGAGGTTCGACAGTATCGTCGGTGCCTGGAACATTATAATCGTCCGTAGCAGCAAACGCACATCGACGGTCCAGCGCCGTTGATTAGAGACTGTGCTGAATGTCAGCGTCGTTGAAAACAGTAAAAATCGGCAATAGTCTGTTAAATCGTGCCATTAACGCGCTTCCTATCGAACTGCATATCCCCGGCTACCAGTTTTGCGGGCCGGGTACACGCTTGCGGACACGATTG